ATATGGTGGGCGTCGCGGCACTCACCTCCGAGCGCCACGGAGTAGGGACCGATGCCGGACGTTCTGAAAATAATGTTTTTTAAAATATTTCAACTTGACATAGGACTCCAATAGCATTTCAAACTAAATTCTCCTTGACTGCACTTCAATTAGAATTTTTCAATTATTTCAATAAGGAATTCAGATCACACCCTAATTCTAACAGTTTACAAAAAAGAATTATGCCGGAAAGGGAAATTCATTTTTTATTAGTTTTACAATGTTGCGGAGTGTAAGCTCGATCAAATCCGTGGTGAATGAGTAACTAAAGTTCTATCTTGATAGGAGTTGATTAGATGAGAATGAGTGGCGAATTTGAGTCAATCGGATGGGGCCTAAAGTTTATGAAGGAAGATAGGAAGAATGGGAGAGAAAGGAAAGATATTGTGGTCTAGTGTAGTATTTTTTTTTCTTTCAATTAAGGCTGTATTTATAAAATAAAAAATAAAAAATATGTGTTTTGATTGGTGTGTTATAACAAATAAAAATACGGTGACAATATAACAACCTTCTACTTTTCTTTATTCTAATTTTGCCCCTAAAGAAATATGACATGTGAAATTAACTCATGGAAGTTTGGACGGTTATGATCCATCGAGGATCGAGGTACACAAAAATAATAGGTTGGGGATTTAAATTCCAAAAGAAATAGATTGAGGTCCTTTTTGCTACTAATTGTATAGACTGGGAGTGATGCTACATCTTATAGACCATGATCCATGGGCTGCCGGAGTTGATTCATTCATATCCAAAACTATTGGGCTTCGGTCTCTGAAAACCACTACTCTACTGATTAATACCTCATAGCTCTGATCTATTACAATTTTGTTATATGTACATCAAATTTGAAACTGTTATAAGGTGACAGTTTTTTATACATTAATCTTAACAATACTTTAAACAACTAATAATTCTGGTCTTGACACATAATTGAGTGTCAAACTTGTTATACACTAAGAGTGGACAACAAGTTTAATTCGATCTATTAATTGCATGTCATGCTAAGCTTCAAAAAAGTAAAGGGAAAAAGTACATAATTATGAAAGTTTTAAAAGATAATTTCACAAATAAGAAATGTGTGATTTTTTTTTTCAAAAATTAGATCGTCACATCTTATGACTTGTGATAAAATTTTGTAACCTATAATTTAAATAAAGAAGTCATGGTCACAATCACGTACTAATTACAAATTATACAAGATCACAATCACATAGACACAATTTGTTAGTCACAACCCTAAATTTAATCACAAACCACATATTTAATATGTCATGTATTATATATTACTCACAAATTATTCAAATATTTGGTTACAATCAATCTTCATCCCACCCACACCACCCTACCCCACTCCACTCAACCACCACTAGCACCACCCAAATTGTCGTCGTCATCTCACCACCACCACCACTTTTAACACCTCTTGTTCATGACCATCACCACAACCACATGCACTTCTAGCCCACCAGCACTAGGTCACAAATCACACACGTAATTGGTCAGGGTCGTTAATTTTCTCACCCCATCGTTGTCGAGCCTATCCTTCCTCGACTGTAGATAGAAATATGGCTCGAGTAATGCTTTATGAATTGAAGATGAATTAGTGGAACACTGAATCACTCCTAAGTTCACCCTCTGCATGAAGTCCGATCTAATTACACCTTCAACTATTGAACTAAAGCCACTATTAGATCTCACATCCAGATCGACATTCACTATTAGAATATGAAGTAGAAAAACATCAATTAAGAACTTGTTACGGGGCTGTGTCGACCCTCCACCTCGACACCACATGTCAGTAAAGATCGCCCACACGTCCGACACTTGACGCCGAGGTGATTACCTCATGGGACGAGCTGGCTGTATATACCGAAGTGATTATGTAAGGAACGAACTGAACAGGTGCCATCGAACGAACCGGACTCATTCGCTAACACATCGCGGATGCAAAGGCCCGCACTCCGCTTCTAGAACGCTGCAACGCCCCACCTGCCTCGCCTTGCCTCATCAAAGATCTCTTGTACAAAGATCCTTCCAGGACGCGTGGCAGGACTCAAACGGTCAAATTAGTCGCTCTTGTCAGAAATACTCAATGCCAGCCAACCTAGGGATGGACAGATTGACACCTAGGATGGAACGAGTTCTGGAGATCTAACAACACGTGTCTCCTCATCCAACGGCCCTCCTCTTCCCATCCTTGATATAAATGCTCCTTCCTTATGCCTGAAGNATAGGACGAGTGTCAGGACTCGTACTGTCTAATCAGTCGCTCTTGTCAGAAATACTCAAAGCCAGCCAGCCTATGGATGGACAGATTATCACTTAGGATGGGTCGAGTTCTGGAGATCTAGCAACACGTGTCTCCTCATCCAACGGCCCTCCTCTTCCCATCCTTGATATAAATGCTCCTTCCTTATGCCTGAAGAAGGGGAGATATTTTTGGAATTCAATACACTACTACACCAAACACTTGAGTATTATCTTCTCCCACATATTGTTGGCACTTTTATTATTGCATGTTCAATCACTTCCCGGCGAGTATTCTACCGCTGATGAACCCCTTTTGGTTGAATTTCAGACTGACTTGATCGTCGGAGTGCTTGAAGCCGGACTGACGACGTGCCACGTGTGCAAGGAGGAGTTGACTTGAAGACCTTCTTCTGTTGGCCACGTGTCGGTGCCATTTTTCGAGATCAACAAGAACTATTTTAATCACAAACTTTGATTGGCGTAAGCCGTCTCTTGTATGACCAGATCAATGGAATAATATGGGTGGCGAAGAGTGAAGTTGAAAGACACTTTTTCGAATCTGAAAATTTAAGAAAAAAATGGATTAAATGATATGGTGGGGGTGGTGTAATGTGATGTGATGTAAGGTGGGGTGTGAGATGGCCGGATTGGTGGTGATCGAAGTTGGTTTGGCTGGAAGAGGTTGGGGTGGGGTTGAGAGAGAGAGGCAAATTGTATATAATTGTGTTTGTATATATAGATAGATTATGTTTGTACATGATAGATATCCTGC